CTTCGTGTATATGTAGCTGTAACATGTTTAAATTCAAGTTACTCCACGCTCACATTATCATATTCTTATTAAATGTGGCCAAAGAAAAACTACAGACGCAAAGAAAATATGCATACGTGATTTTAGTACAGAAAAGAACACATAACAGTTTCCTTATTAAATCCTAATAATCCATATGCTAGCAGACGCTCGTGTTGGCCATTTATTATAAGAATAAATTAGTTAGTACAGTGTAATTAAGACGGTAATGTAATTATGGTCCAATTAGCGCCCAAAAAAAGTCGGATCCGGTTTTTCACTATTGTTACTACCCGGTTAAATATTAACTCCATGAAAAGTGGCTTTCCAGACAGGCCCATATTAGAAATAATTCTAAATATAAGTAGTAAACAGTCATGAAATGATTGATTTTATATTTTCAAGATATCCTTAGATCAGCAGGCAATTAATTAAGTTATATTACACCGGTTAAAAAACTCAACAAAATGCAAGTAACTTAAAATTAATTGTATTCCTGAGTTCAAGTCCAATGTTCCTTTTCCTTACTGGCGTGGGGAATCTTTTACAGTCACTTCGTGTAAATGACTAACAAATTATACCATTATTACATCAGACATTCTAAAATTTGTGAGTTACATATGATATTCGTGACGTTTCGGAATTTACTCTACTTTCATCTTCACGTGACTGATTAGTTATCGCTATACTAACGTATTTTTATTATTGTTTATTAAACGGCAGAACTACTAATATGGGTAACATCAAATAAACCATTAACAAACAGCATCACAAAATTCTTATAGCACATGGCCCTGAATAACAAGCGATGCTTACAGTAGATAGTTCCGTTGCCATTTCCTCCAAGACGGAAAACGGCAATACACCGTCCATCGTATATTTTCATGAAAATAAAAAAAAACATTATTTTCACGACAAAGTGGAATAGATACGGACGCAGTTGCTCAATTAAATTGGGTTTAGTAGTTGCTACAGACAACCACAAGGGAGTAATACGGTGAGATGGTTTAGAAGTGACTCAGTGTGCACTTTTATGGGCTCCTGTGTTCCATCATTCGTTATAAACATTACGAGGACTTCTTGATCGACTTCGGTGAACTATCGACCGAGGTGGTATCGACACGAGAAAGGCAATTGAGACGGTCATTTTCTTGGGTGATTGAGTCGTCAGAATCGGGAAACTGTCAAACTAAAATTACCCACCTGTTCATGTCCTATATCTTGCTATGAATTGTATGGGATGTTTCTTCACGTCCATCGTAAGAACCAGTTTAAGCATCAGTTTTATAGTGAAATAGAGAGAATTAATACTTAAATAATAATATGGGAATAATACATTTGTAATATGACAAGACAGTAATTTAAGCGAACTCCCTCCTTTGAAATATGACAGTGATCAGTTTGTCATGCATACACTATACTTCTTTCCATATCTTGGCAAACATCGACAGACATGTTGACATCGAACAAAGGGAAAATATCCTACGACTTATTCTCGCTAACTAACAACAGTAGTTTTAATAAGCCATATTATTCAATGATTTCTGACTATAGACCCATTTGCATTAACATGCGATATCGTTTCCACAGGGAAAATTGTCCTTTGTTTTATCTGGAACAGAATACTTTATTTTACAAATATGGCAGTACGGTTGGCCTAAACTCTAGATCATTAATATTGAACATGGCTGTCATCTGGATTATTACGCAGTGTAGTCTGGTATAAGTTTACAGACGTTTCATAGGTCCTTGCTGCCTCCATCATCAGGGTGATTCTGCCGGACTACACGGCGCAACAACCTAGAAGATAGCCATCTTGAAACTCACCGCCGTGAAAACCTCAAATCCTACATCATTAACATTAATAAATTTAATTAAGACAGATGCTGAAATGTACAAATTCAATTATGAATGTCGGACAAGCCATTTTGTCATGTCTGAGTACCTGTCTCACGGCGTTAACACTGTCACCGCACTGAGTGTCAACGCCGTGAAGTTTACACTGTTGTCGAACTATACGTAATTTTAGCAATATGACAATTCCTTACCGCGGGCGGAGTTCCGTAGGCCGTGAAAACGAAAGAACCTATCTGATCTTCACCGCGAATATAATATTTCTTTATCCAATAGTAATAGCTCAATGACGGAGTCAGATCTGAAGATGAGTCTTTTAGAATGTTGCGCCGCGTAGTCTCGTAGAAACTGAACGACGTTTCAGAGGTGATTACTGCATCAATGGGAGTTTTCTGTTGCCACAACATAGGAAAAGAATAATGTCAAATAACGTACGGGGATAAGCATGTTCCAAGGAAAACGTGCAGGAGGAATCGAAGGTAGAAAACATCTGGCCACCGCGGGGCTAAGCAACTGAGGAACTTCGGACTTGAGGAATATTCGCTCTGTACAAGACGACCATGTTATATATGAGGGAAATGACAATAAACTAGCATGTACCCAGGCGCCTAAGACAAGTGGAAACTAAAGATATCAACTTCAATTCAAGGACACAGTATCCCTCCTAATACAGATTCCGACAATTCTGACCATTCACTTCATACAAATCACAGGACCGTTTTTGTAAAGTAATATTTCTCTTTAACTTTAATAATATTAAAGTGGCTGTCTTCTGGGTTGTTGCGCCGTGCAGTCTGATAGAAGTTAACCGACTTTTCGGAGGTTCTTGTAGCCGCCACAGAAGGCGACGAACCACTCACTGCATAATGCTAGAAGGTATTCGTTTTCGTGTTATTCAACACAGCACATTTAGCGGCATGACATTCATACCATGTTGATTAAAACCAACCCACTGATTCAAGTTATTGGGGGGAGGGGGGGGGGCACAGACATGGTGGATCCATAAACATGATTTTAAGTATTAATAATTACAGAAAAGTAGCCACCAATTCTTACCAAGTAGACACAGACGGGTTATCAAAAGATGTTTCATTTGAAGAAGTAATTTAGAAATTCATATTTCGTTAATTTTAAAACAATAACTAGATATCATTAGAAATACAAACAAATTTTGATTGAAAACCATGAGGGGAAGTTACCACTACGAAGATCTAGGCGTAGTAGGGATGATAATATTAAGATGGATCTCAGGGAAATAAGGATTGGTTCATCCTGCTCAAGATAGGGACCGGTGGCGGGATTTTGTGAACATGGCAATAGACCTTTGCTCCCATATAAGGTGGGAAAGTCTTGAACAGCGGAGCGTGCTACTGTCTTCACAAGGACTCTCCTCTTTGCAGATAGTTAGCTAATAGACGCCCATTAATAAAAACTTACACATATAGACTACAACTATACAATACAAAGCAATACTAAAAATATATAATGTAGCGTAACTGGCCGCCGTGAAGTGTGCGCATTTTAAATAGCCTAATTTTCAAGTCTGCTTCTAAAGAATTATCACGAAAAATAAACCAGCATTAAGGTAGCACAATGTACCATACTTA